TAAAATAAAACTGATTCAAAACTATGCCTTACATATTTCCTTGTACACTTTCAGAAATATTTGTTGTAATATTGTTCTATTGATAGAAGCAGTTTCATTTTAGCTCCATATAAAGGGCACTGCAATCCATGAGAAGATGAAGTAGACATTTGAAAACTATAAGAAACGCAGCTAATTGTACGAACTGAAAATAAATAAAAAATACAAGAAATAGGAAAACTTAGAAACTGAAATTGACATAGAACCAAATCAAACAATAAATTACCCTAAAAATGGATGAATTCTTACATGAAATTGATGATTCCCTTTCATCGATTGAATCTAAATCAAACCTTATACCTCGAAATCAACAATCCTTTTCCCAAATTTCAGAATCCTAATTTTTTTTAAGGGAAAGTTGCGTGCGATGATGGTTTTATGATTAAGGGGCTGAGGCGAAAAGGTAATAATATCCATGCACACATGCACCACATGCGTCTTAATTGATGGAATTCTCAATTGGACTTGATTTGTTAATGATGCAAAATGTGATGACCAAAATCATAAAATTAAAAGTGCGGTGACCGAAATTAAAATCGGGCCAAACCCCATTGACCAAAATTGTAATTAACCTTGAAAATTAAAATTGCATATTGTTTCAAGAGAAGAGTGTCAGACTCTTGTGTTATGAAACTCATTAATGTAGGTTTTTATACAACAACCTTGCCTTTGAAGGTTGAAGTCTTTTTTGTTTTGTTTTGTTTTTTTGGTATAATTGAAGTTTGAAGTCATTTCAGTTAATATAGCCTTTTAAAATTTGTTGCCGCCAGCCCCTCTAAAACAAATAATGTGCCATCTTCACTTGTGTTAATTATATTGGAGCCATTGCCTTATGAGATGATCTTGTATAAACAAATATAGGAGACACACATGTGGTGGCACCATAGTGAAAAAGTGGGTCAAAATCTCCCCTCCCCCCAAAGTACACTCGGGTTCAATTCTCCTAGAAGACAATCTTGAGGCAACTCAATATATTACTCCTCCTCCCCTCCTAAGCGAATGAAAAAAAAAAAAAAAAAACCTATATAGGAGACAACATGGTAGGCATCAAGCATGAGGCGTGGGGTACATTATGGTCTTTCAAGGACTTATCAATAATTCCATAGTATAATAATTGAGACATTATTTTCATAATTTAATAATTATTTTATAATATCCTTAAATATAATTTTAATTAATGTTAATTGATTAATTATAATATTGGGTGAGGCCGGGCTGCCTATGGGCTTACAAATCAAGGATCAGGCCATGCCCTTTACACAACAGGCTAAGCTAAGATTGTCCACAATATCATATCGGACTAACTCATAGCCCAAAAAATAGGACTGAATTCAAACTTGCCCATCGGGCTTAGACCATTTTTATAGGCCTAATATTTTGGTAATAAATAGTTTATAATTGACAAAGTTCGATTTTCTTTATGTTAATTCAATGCGGTTTAATGATTTGAGTTTTCGTTATGTATGTCCTAATCTAAGATAGTAGATAGATGAATATAGTGTTGAAATTAAAATAATAATGTGATTAAATTATTAAAAAACAAGATGTTTAGTGTTTATGCATATGTGGGTTAGGCAATGTGCTCACACTTTTAAACACAAGTTCAAGTCCCTATTTCCAGAGAATAGAGTAGTTTAAAATGTTGTTTATTTAAAAAAAAAGTTATATATATAAGTAATAGTTATGAGTTTACATTGATTGACTTATTAAATTGGAGTTTAAAATTATTATTATTATATTGCATGTATTATGTTATACATCTTATATTTAAATTAACAAAATTAAACATTTTAAATGTGACGGGTTGACACAAAATGAGTTGAGTAAGCTAACAAACAGTTTGCCTCGCACCTTTCCATTTATTATTATTGGCTTGGTGGACTGACTTGAATTTGACCTGATTTTTTATTGTGCGGGTTGATCCGAGTAAAATTTGTGCATGTTATGAATTATTTATTGGGTCATGTTAGAGCATTTCTAGCTGGATGCCCTAGCCCAGGCAAGAGGCCCCCTAGGCCTTTATTCGTGTTTCTAGTGCCCCATTCTTGCCAGGGTAAGAGATGGGCTCCACCAACCCGGGCAAGACCCAAGGCAAAATCAGCCCACCCTCTCACCGATGACGGTGTCAGCGCAAGAAATCAATTTTTTTTTACCGTTGACATGTGATGTACACGCAGGGATTGTGCACATCACGCACACCAATGGTAAATTTTTTTTTTTTGAATTTTTGTCGCTGGCGTTAGCGCCTACTTTCTCCAAACGGATAGAAGCCAGGTAGCGCTTTTTGGGGTGTCCAATCCATTCTTCCACTACTATCCAACAACATCAAAATTGAAAAAAGTACCAGAAATTTTGAATTTTATATATATATAAATACCTACCAATATTATTTACTTTTCACACCAATTCTTCATACAAATTCTTCTCCTTCTAGTATTATTCATTTTTCACACCAAATTTTCTACTACTAAATTTCATTTGTATAAAAAGACAAATGGCCTCTTCAATCGAAGCCAGAGGCTTGTGGACAACCATGAAAAATGTTTTGTTGTGTGAGTGTTGTGTCCAAGTTAGTCATTGCCCGATCACGGACAATGAGATGAAGTTCTCTCATATGTGGAGAAAAATTCATGGAGAACTTTGTGAAAGATTGGGTTTGGCTCGTACGAAAATGGCCTTGGCTAGTAGGTGGAAAATTTTGAATAAAGAGTTAGGGAAATAGAGAGATGTGTTGGCAAAAGCGAGAAACAACGTTGGAAGCGGCGAAAATCTTGGCAACGAGGTAAAATTTTTATAATTGCTGTTTTATTAAATTTAATGTCATATTTTTTGATATTTTCTTGGATTTTCAATTTGTTTTTTTATTATAGGTTATTCAAGCACAAATGTGGTTAGGTGTCATTGGCCAAGGCAAAAAATCTTTCAACAATCAACAATGTTGAGAGGTTGTGGAGAATTGTTTGAGATTCAAAATTATTTCCACGGGCCCGACAGTTGTATTGAATGAGACTCTACTCCATGATTCACCGGTATAGGATTCATCGTCGGTTTACGAAACTATCAGATTGCATCCTTAATGCTTTTGAGATTTTCTATTTAAACCTCATACTTCTCTTAGTCCACCTCATATTTTAAGTTCACCTTAACTTTTAATTTAAATTTTCACAATTTCTAAGAAAACCCCACTATCTTCCCAAACTACCGTTAAATACACCCCAAGCTGAAAAATAATAAATAAAAGAGATTTTCTATTTAAACTGCACAATTTTTTTTTTGTTCACCTCAATACTTAAATCATTAAACAATATTTTGTAGTATACATGAGATTTTGTTTGGGGTGAAAGTTTGAAGCAAAAGTATGTGCTACGCATCAGTTTAAGGATACAGGGGACAAGTGACGACTGATCTTTCTCTTCAAGCCTTGGAAAGAATCATCTACAATTGTGAAACCTTTGTCTGCAAATTTTAAGAGCTCAAACAAGTCCTCCTACATGGGCTACCTGTCACCTTGCAGAAATTGCTTCAGGGATGGAGAACAACTTGCAAGGTCTAATTTGCAATTGTTTCAATCGCCGTGGGGATATACTGATAAATGAGCTAAACTGTTTTGTATCTAGAGAAAGAGAACATCTTTACCAATAAATTTTAGATAAAAAATCAAAACAACAAAGTAATCAACAGCCAAGAGTGCAAAAAAAATAAAATAAATAAATGCAATCAACAGCCAAGCAATCAATAAAGGGAAGAGAATAAGATTATTACAGCCAAACAATCAATAAGTCTTTCCATAAGCTCCCACACATATTTTAAAGAGGCAGACTCGTCAATGTTCTATGTCTGAACAGTAATCCGGCAATACAATGTAGAAGAGTTTGTATTTTTATAAAACTTAATATGAAGAGTTGTGGGGTGTGTGTATAGATGTACTAGGGTTAAGTATTAAGTTGGATGACCTTTTTTGTCTTTTTACACTAATAAAACTTACAGCTTAATGATTTAAGTATTGAGGTGATAAAAGAGAAGTGCGGGGTTTAAATAGAAAATCTCATGTTTTTTTTTTTTGTCATTCGTGGTCCTCAAGCTTAGTATGTGTGCTCATAAATGGTCTCTGCTTTCATTAAAAACTACGTTAGTTTGCTGATGTGATATATATATATATATATCACAAAACATCCCTGAGGTTTACACACCTCTCACAAATGGTCCTTGCAATTATTTTATTTTATTTTTTTCATTTAAAATTCATAAAATTTTGGTTTTCTTTTTTAAATTATTTAAAAATATATATTGTATTTTAAATACACGTGACACAATATTATTGGAGATGTGGGCTTCATATATATGCCACATCAACAAAGTAATGAAGTTTTTTTTATAAATAATTTAACATTAATAAAATTTAAAAATAAAAAACCCATTTATAGAAGGATTTAAACCTTGAGGACCATTTATGATCCCTAAACCCTTGGTTTTTTATTTTTCAATTTTATGAATTTTAAATTATTTTTTAAAAACTCTATTGCTTTGTTGATGTTACATATATGTAGAGTACACATCTCCAATAATATAGTGTCACATGTATTTAAAATACAATATATATTTAAAATAATTTAAAATTCATAAAATAAAATAAAAACAAAAAATTTATGAATTTTAAATGAAAAATATATAAAAATTCACAGCGACCATTTGTGATAGATGTGTGATACTCAGGGATGTTTTGTGATATATATTATATGCCATGTTAGCAAACTAACAGAATTTTTGATGTAACCTAACGGCATGGATCATTTGTGAGTATACATACTAACCTTGAGGACTACGAATGATAAAAAAAATATTATAAATGCAATCTGATAGTTTCGTACATCTTAGTGACGTTTTGTAATATTAAGCCTTTTTATTTTTCGGGGAAGGCATTCCAAGTTCCAACCCTGACTTATGAACCTCCGTCACCAGCCCAAGGGCTTCTTAGTAAAGTTCTTTGGAAATGGTTAGAGGTGTTATTTTTGAAAAGGGAAGGAGCTCCGCGCTGTCTGTTTCGAAAACGAAAAGCGCTTTTAGTTTCAGGCAGGAGAGGTTTAGGGTTAGGGTTTTGGTGAAAACAGAAAGAAAGAAGTAGTTCGCAATGCAGCCCTACGGTATACAGTCGATGCTGAAGGAGGGGCACAAGCACCTCTCCGGCTTGGACGAAGCGGTAGTGAAGAACATCGATGCCTGCAAGCAACTCTCTACCATCACTCGAACTTCTCTGGGTCCCAATGGTATCGCTTTCTTACTCTAAAACTCACAGTCTCAGTTGATCAGATTTGAAATCAGTTAATTTCTTAAAATTTGTTTCTCTTCATTACTGCTCAGGTATGAATAAGATGGTAATCAATCATTTGGACAAGCTCTTTGTGACAAATGATGCTGCCACCATTGTCAATGAGCTTGAGGTTCAGCATCCTGCTGCCAAGCTGTTGGTTTTGGCAGGCAGGGCTCAACAAGAAGAAATTGGTGACGGTGCTAATCTGACCATTTCTTTTGCTGGGGAGCTCCTGCAAAACGCAGAGGAGCTTATAAGGATGGGCCTGCACCCAAGTGAGATCATTAGTGGATACAATAAAGCTATCACAAAGGTTATTCAAATGATCTGCTGACTGTTTACCCATTTGGGTTTATTGGAATTCTTCCGTTCTGATTTTATTTTTATTTTTGGGATATTTCAGACTATTGAAATCTTAGATGAACTGGTTGAGGAAGGTTCTGAGAAAATGGATGTTCGCAACAAAGAAGAAGTGGTTTGTAGAATGAAAGCTGCTGTTGCCAGCAAGCAATTCGGACAAGAAGATATCTTATCCTCACTTGTCGCAGATGTAATTATAACTTGCATACCCTTATTTGTTATTGCTTATTTTCTATGTCAGCTACCCAGCTATTTAGAAGCAAAGAAAAGGAAAAGGAAAAGAAAAGAAGAATAGCATGTCACTTTTGTAAGAAAATTCTAACAGTAACTCTTTGATTGGACAATATAGGCTTGCATACAAGTATGTCCCAAGAACCCAGCAAACTTTAATGTGGACAATGTACGTGTTGCAAAGATTGTGGGAGGGGGTTTGCATAATTGTACAGTAGTTCGAGGCATGGTGTTGAAAACTGATGCCGTGGGGAGTATAAAGCGAATGGAGAAGGCCAAGGTTAGCAGTCTTTTATGTATATGTATTTTAACTTTTTCATGACATATGTATGTTATAGCATTAAATGATGTGCTCTGTTTGTTCATGGTCTTTGACAGATTTGGTCTTTCTCTAATTACTTTTTGGTCAACTTTCTCTAATTACTTTGAGTCTTTTAGCACCATTTTGTGAGTGGTTCAGTATTGTTTACCTTTGGCTTTTGCTATAAAGACACAATTTACTGGTTCCTGTGGGTATTATTTTGAATTTAATATCAAATTTCTTGTAAATGATGGATGGGAGTGTACTTTATTGAAACTTGCAGCATGAAATATAGGGTGCGAGGAAGGAAATATAGGGTGTGAGGAAGAAGATATGCAATGATTATAACAGGAAAATGAGCATGATTATCATGCCTTTTTATTACCTTTAAATGTCATCAAGGTGGTTTGTGATTGCCAGTGCCAGCTGCCTATATTGAATTGCTGTTTGCTTGTGTTAGATAGTATGATGTAAGAAAAATATATGGAAATGGTAGGTTTGTTGACTTGTTATGATGTAAAACTGATGATAATTAATCAAAGCAAATACCAGTCCAGATAGGATAGGTGTTGGTCTGCTGTGTACCATACAATGCCCTCTTCCCAAGTTGTCACATTTTGATTTCTAAAAAAAAAAAGGTTGTCATACTTCGATCCTTTGGAATCAGAACAAATAATGGCATGAATATTGGATGGTTATGTACCACATAACAGTGATTCTTTTAGTTTCTTATAACTGTGATGATTACGACTTCCAATTTCATGATCTTACCTTGAAAACACTAATTTTAGGCATAGTCTTCAATAATATGCTAATACTCAAAATGTGCAGCAGCCTTCTTGTCATTATGTGCAGCGCTTCATATATTAAAGTTCAGAGGAATGCACCATACCTTTGACTATTTAGATTTTTGCTTTTCTATATGCATGTGACTTGAGCATTACAAAGGCTAACATTGTTTATTTTTTGGGTCCTTTCTTTGGTTGATACTGATTTCCACAAATTTGAAGTACCTATTCTTTGTTTCTCGTAGCGGGAAAATTGTGTCAAAATAAGGCAAAACGGTAAAATATACCATTGAAAACTCAACATATAAGAGATTAGTGGACATTCACTTACCATCACAAGCGTTTCAATAATTTTTCAAGCTTAGTACAGATTTATGGTTTCTTATTATGTGGTGATTTGTTACAAATTTTTTTGTATATACTTAAAGTGGCCCTAAGAGGAATTATGGTGATATAACCAAGAGTGATTTTTTGGTTTCATTTGTATTTGTTATTTAACTTATATATAGCAGATAAATTTTGTGATTTGTGCTTCATGAATTGTACATATATCTGTTAAAAGTTTTCTTAAAATGTTTCATTTCTCGATTTTTTGAATTATTAAACTAGATTGGGTTTTGTGAGCTAAAATTGTTAATAATATTTCGAATTGCTGATATGAATAATATTGACTGACTTTTAGTGTCCTCATTCTGTTTAACTTGCAATGTGCTTCTGTTTAACTTTGTACTTGGTCACATCTGTTGTTAATTGTGTGATCCAGTTGCAATATTTTATTATAAGAACCCTTTAGCCATGTTATGTGGTCTAAATGTATTTTTGAAAGGTTCAGGTTTCTCAGCTTTAATATTCTGTTATACCTTTTCAGGTTGCTGTGTTTGTTAGTGGCGTTGATACCTCTGCAACGGAGACCAAAGGAACTGTCCTAATTCATTCTGCTGACCAGGTAATTGTTGAAGAGGAAGGTTCTCTCTGTGTTGAAGTTATTATGGAGAGAAGCCTTCTATGTTGTATATATAGCAGGAGACTAAAGTGCTTGCCTCCCTCTCCCTCCCTCTGTGTGTATGTGTGTGTTTGTGGTTATATGCAACTGTTTCCATAAGTTCAAATATTTTTTTGGTTACACCATAAGGTCAGATTTAGTGGCAGTTTCTTGAAAGCTTATTCTGTGTGCAACTAGTTAAATTTTGCCTCATATGCATACGTTTCATACGGTTTAATTTATCTCTAATCTATTGGTTCTTGTTATTGCTTTTTAATTTCCCCTTTGTCTTCTGTAAAAGGGCTGTACATGAAATATTAAAGATGTCTTCTAATGTGATTTACCATTTTCTGTGATAGTATGGCCATTTTGTATGGTTTTTTCGATATTAGATATTTATGTCTTGTGGACTCAAATTTTGATTTAAAACTCTATAATTTTAGCTTTTATTACTATATTACTGGAATGTGTTGGTGTTTTACTGTTCTTGTCTTCAGGTCCGTAGCACTTGTGCTAGTTGTGTTACTTCTGTGTTGATACTTTGGCAAAAGATTGTTCTTGGTCTTTCGTGTTTGTTGGATAACTTGTAGTTTTGGAGCAAGGATCCTTTTTTAGTTCTAAAAGCAAGTACAGAATAACATTTACTTTCTGCTCACGATGATTTCTTCAAGAGGGAATCCACTCTTCTTAGTATGGATTCCTAACCGAAGCTTTTAGCTTAACCATGATATCAGTGTACTAACAAATCAGGATGACTAATTTTTTATGAAATCAATTAAAATCTCCTGGTTTGTGATTGAAATTGTAGTAAACTCTAGACCCATTGGAGATGAGGATTTTTAACAACTGGTAACCTAGTAAAATGTTCTACATTCTGTATATAGTACTGATTCTTCAACGTATAATTGATAATTTGGTACCAGATACGTGTGTCCAAGGTGCATGTACCTATAAATATATCATATATACCCTTTACCTTATAGGTTTTTTTAGTAGTTCTTTTCCCTGTTACAAGTACAACATGGTTTATTAGTACTCTAGGGTGAAGTGTTGGGTTTTAGGGCATATGATTTAGAATTTAGCTTCGGGTTTTGGGCCTTGAAGCAGGCGTTTTACTTTTTGCCGCATTGTTTGATCTTCACCTCTTGAACTGCGAGATCATGTTTAAGAATCAGGATCGTGTACCTATATAATGATATATCTGTATGTCTACATGTGTGAGTTTGGTTTTTCCTGTTAAACCAGTGCTACGTGGACATTGGTAAACAAAAGGTTGATGTGGGTCCTAAAACTCTGATAAGCAGCATAACCTAATGTATGATCGAGCCTGCTTAGACTGTAGGGAATGTTCAGCTTTATATCTTAGATATGCAGATTACAACTCGGGAACTCTTCTGTTCATGCAGGCTATTGTTAAATCATTCTCCCCTACAACTTCCTTTGCAAACTTTTTTTAATTATTAGCTTCATTATTTATTTTTCATTTCAGGAAATTGATTATTGGTAAATATGTTTGAATTGAATGGTGCTTGAATTCTCTGGTTTTTGCATAACTATTCTAACTGGCTTTGTTTTAAAATGCTTTGACCTTTTTCTGGGTGTCTGATGTCTGTTACTATCAGTCTCAGTATATTAAAGTTGATCTTTCTTTCTTGTTTGGCTTGGATGTTGGAAATTATCTTTGCCTATCTGTTTAATTTATTTGCATAGTTAGGTTTAATGTGGTTGATCTGTTATTAGCTAATAAGTGGTTTCTTGGTCATCCCGTAGCTAGAAAATTATGCAAAAACTGAAGAAGCTAAAGTTGAGGAGCTCATCAAAGCAGTTGCAGATTCAGGTGCCAAAGTAATTGTCAGTGGAGCAGCAGTAGGAGAGATGGCACTACATTTTTGTGAGCGTTACAAGTAAGTTTCAATGGCTTTTTTTTTCATTAAACTTTTTTCGACCCCTGTGCGTTCATCCTGTGTGTATGCAGTAATGTTGTAATTGTAGCATATACTGGGACTTATGAGTTTAGGTAGACACTTTCACTATGTACTACCCATTTAAAGATATTTAGATCTCTTTTAGAGATCCTTGAACTCTTTTAGTGTTTTAACTTTTTAGTTCTTGATTCTAGGCTCATGGTGCTGAAAATCAGTTCAAAATTTGAATTGAGACGATTTTGCCGCACAACTGGTGCCGTTGCCATGGTAATTTTACAGAATTTGATATTTTATGTGTACCTTATCGAGTGCTTAATACACTTTGTATTTGTGTAACAGTTGAAGCTTGGCCAGCCTAACCCAGATGATCTGGGATATGTTGACTCTGTCTCGGTGGAGGAAATTGCTGGTGTTAGGGTATGATAGGAAATGTTTCCTCAGACAGTTTATTTTGTCTATAAATTTTCTTATTCATGTCTCATTTGTTTTTCTTATTTCTTGTTAACGTGTCCAATATGTAGGTCACTGTTGTGAAGAATGAAGAAGGTGGCAACTCTGTATCCACTGTGCTTCTACGAGGAAGTACTGAAAGTATATTAGATGACCTTGAAAGAGCAGTTGATGATGGAGTGAACACTTACAAGGTAATTTATAAGGCACATTTATAATTTTGTATGTCTTGCTAGGCTGGGTTTGTTTTACCTCTGAAATTGTTGTTAGCATATGGTTCTCTGGAACTTTAAAAAAAAATCTTCGATCAGGTGTCATTGATATCTTACTATCTTAATGCATTTCATTTTCAGGCAATGTGCAAGGATAGCCGTATTGTTCCTGGTGCTGCGGCAACTGAAATTGAGTTAGCTAGGAGACTGAAGGAATTCTCTTTTAAAGAAACAGGGTAAATTGCCTCTGCTTTTGAATTTATTCATTTGAAGTGATTTACACAATATGTCTGCAATATGCCTAACTTTCACCACTATTAGATATTTTTGCTTGATTCTATGAAAACTTTAAGGTACAGTCACACAGAAATTATCAACAATGACGAAGATATATCCTCAAAGGAGTTGGAAATTGCTATGCAAGATTCTGTGGAGTATGAGGAATACATATCATATAAAGAATTTTATTGAAATTGGGGTATGGGGTAAATTGAAGTATACAAGATGTATAAAAAATTAAAATGGTATCCAAATAAATTTCCTAGAAAATGCCTTAAAGAAGCATCTTGGGTATTACAACCAACTAGAGAGGGACACCCGTTTTACAGTTTTAAATTATCAAACTTAGGTAGCACATGAAGGTGCAATTTCCTAGCACTAAAAAGAACAAAAGAAAGAAACTGATATATCATGGATGTTCTTGTCCAAAAAAGGTGTGGTTGAGATAGGTAATTGTAAAGTACTTTGATTTGAATAATTTAGAGTTCTTTGATATTGATCTGAATTATTGGTTTTCATAATACGCATGTAATGTTGTACCTGAAAGCATAAAGTAGAATCTGGAGGCCTACACCAATTATTGGAACTTAAATTAAATTTTTTTTTTGGGTGTGTCCATCATAGGTCACGATTGGGCATTAGTGAAATAGCATACTAAAGAAAGAATGGTTTTGCAGATTGGATCAGTATGCAATAGCAAAATTTGCCGAAAGTTTTGAGATGGTGCCTAAAACTCTCGCTGAGAATGCTGGGCGTAATGCAATGGAGATCATATCGTCCCTTTATGCTGAGCATGCATCGGGAAATACCAAAGTTGGCATCGACTTGGAAGACGGTGTTTGCAGAGACGTGTCAGCTCTAAATGTTTGGGACCTCCACATAACTAAGTAAGCTTTTCTTTGTCTTGTAACGATTTATGTTTTTTTTGTGTGTGTGGAAGTTTTCATGACATTGTATGTTGTTACAACTGTGATGCTTGATGTGATATTGGTAATAAGAGTAAGTTTTGTACATTAAATTTGGGTCTAGAATTTTTAATTTCTTTTTGGTAGAGGACTCTTTTAATTCCCATGCCCTTTCTGGAGGTTTTGCTAGCCAATGAGTTCCTGCTGCTTCTATTAGTGGTTCATTTGATTGGTGCATGTATCCTTCTGTTGATGTTATATATCAAAGTGCAATTTAATTTAGCTTTGTGGGGGTATTGCGGTGAAGTTGTAATATGGATAATAGGGCATAATTAGGCAGTTGTCTACATTTGTAATATTTAATCTAGTCCATGATTTGTATTTTTGTTTTTTGGCCTGAAGTCCATGATTTGTGGTAATTCATGTTTTTGCCAAAATCCTTTACTCTATGGAACCCAGTTATTCAGTGTTTTTTCCCTTCATTATTCTGTTTGTGTATATAGATGTAGCTATATATCCATTTTGAAAGCTTTATTTATGTTTTGGTTTCAAGAAATGGTTGGTTTCTTGAGGATAATGCAGCGACGATTCTAACCTTTTCAAAATCCTCTATCAATTTAGTGGATGTATTCTCATTATGGATTTTCGTATGAGTTACATCCATATGAAAGGGTTTGTAGTATTTTTCAATAAGTGAAGATTCAGCTAAGGAGGAATAATGACATGTAAGCCAAGCGTTGTTCATATCTCAAAGTCATACACATCAGATGTTTTATTAATTGTAAATAGTTGTTTTCCATTCATCTCTTTGAATTCAATGTTCTTATTGAAATCACTGTGATTTATAAGTAGACTTTGGGTTAAAAATTTGTTTTATATACGATATAGGCATCATATTCTATGTTCGGCTCTTTTTTTCTTTTTGGCCTGATCTTTCTTGGGATGTTTGCTACAGGTTTTTTGCTCTCAAATATGCTGCAGATGCTGCCTGCACTGTTCTACGAGTAGATCAAGTAAGTAACTAATAACTATTGGGTTTTCCAACTTTTGGAGTACCCAACTTTAATTTCGAACTGAATCATTCAGACCAGAGGGAAAACTGAAATACTAAGTGCATCTGGTTTTAAACTCGTCTTTGAGCTTTTGTTTGGGTTAAAATAAGAAGGGAGTTTCACTAAAACACCCAAAATGGAGGTTGAAATTATAAAAAAACCCAACACCCAAAACACTTTATAAACACACCCAAAACCCATCATTATACACACTCAAAACCCATTTATAAACACACCCAAAAAGTTGACTTTGGGGTTGATTTTGGGTGTGTTTCTATGTTTAAATAGTACTTGGGTTTTTTTATAAATACATGTCTAGGATTGGGTTTATTTATAAATTTGTAAAATAAGAAACCTATGAAACTCTTACCAATACTTCAAACAATGGAAGCAAATATGAATATTTTTCTGAAGTTCCTTTGGGAAATGCAGAATTTATTAAATATAGCGTCACTGCTGTAGGTATAATTCTTTATTAAGATTGATGTAGATTTTACTAAGAATTGAACAGCGAGGGATTTTGAAATTGTGGGACAAGGATTTATGACTTTCAAATGTATTGCTAATATATCTTCTGCTAGAAATACCCACTTTAGCACAACTGATTAGATATAAGTTGGGCCGCTTTTCAATGATTTCGCTCGACAAAACAAGACTAAAAAAAAGACATAATAGTTGTTTTGTTTTTGTCAGAACATGAAAGTTGGTTTGATGATTAGCATCAATTAAGTGTTAAAATTAATTTATCTAATTGCAAGAATATGTGGTGTTGATTATCATTTAATTCATAAATAATTATGTTGACAAAACTCTCTGTGTTGCAGATTATAATGGCAAAACCAGCAGGTGGCCCAAGTAGGAGAGATCAGCCTGCAGGGATGGATGAGGACTAACTTTTTCTGTGTCACAGTTTAACTATCTCGTTTGTATTGCTCCGAGTTAGGAACCTTTTGTTGTCTACAGATGAAAAGCATGTTTTAGATTTCAATTCTGCAAGGATTGAATTTTGAAAATCATTAGTTACAAAGCTTTGTTTGTCAGTTGAAGATCTGAATACAGAATTAAATTGTAACTTTAAGTTGTGTGGACTTGTTTGGGATGCGGCGTGAGAGTTAAATAGGGTGGAAATTTTTTTAATGAACTCTTCTTCCATCTCTCTTCAATGGTAGTGTGCCGTCTCAAGAGAGGCCCTCGAGTTCTTGTAACTGACTGCCACTGGTCTTTGAGATTTTGTTGAAGGCTTTTTTATGTGCCTTTGCCAGACAGTAATCTATTTGATTCTTATGAAATTTTCATCTATGATGCAACTTTTGTGCCTTCAATTCAATCTTGCCACAGCTTTTGTTCAATGATGCATCTCAAATGCTCGTTTCTTCTTTGCATTTATTTGTTATTTTTCATCGCTGCCTACATATTTCTTTGTATTTACTAAGACTGGAAATTTTTAATTGAAAAACTGACCTGAATCGAATCGACTAGTCTGGGTTGGTTTGGTTGCATATTGTGTTTTGCAGGAGCAGAAAATAGCACCAAACTGGTTAACTCAATTAAAAATAACAATTTGCAAACCTTTGACCTTGCGGTATGTCGAACCCAACTGTCCATATACTCTACTTTAAGATCACATTTCCATGCGCTCTCTATTCATTCATTGGCTCAGATAAGCCTGAAAAGAAACTGTTAACACATACCAAAGATCCAAACAAAGTATGGGGGAACAAGCCACCCGCACAAAATGTGCTCTCATAATCCAAGGAACTGGTGTATTCAACACTCTAAACGCATCCCCACACCACATACTGATACTGGCACCGAAGGAGATCGACGAAAGCTACACCCGCAAAGCCAAGGAGCACAGGGTGGTGATTGAGAATCAACAAAGAAAGGCAGTCGTAGAACACATGAAAGAGAACTGTAGAGGAGACAAAAACCTCATACCCGAGCCATAGCTCCGAGAAAATGCACCTATGGAGAGTGGGAGGAGCTGCTGACTCACAAGTAGGGAGAGGAGGAAAGAGGAGAAGAAATGAAATACAAACAACTAGGAAAAATAAACTCTCACAGAGGAGTGGATGAACTCTCACAAAGGAGAGAGAGGAAAATAGGAGATTGGAGGAAGAGAATAGAGGGCAGGAGGAGAGGAGAGGAGGAACAATAACTCCTCTCCTAGTGCGGCACTGAAATCATTTCCGAGAGAGTGATTAGTTATAAGGTATTTGTATCCTACCATTTTGTGAGGATTAGAGTAGATAAGTTTCTCTATGAGCTATGTTGAATAGGTACGGGTACGCTGATACAATATAATACAATTTGCTGATATGGCAAAATTGTAAAAACTAGGATATGGGTATCAATATGGAGGTTAAAATAATATATATTTAAAAATAATATTAATTAATTAATTAATTAATATTGCATCCATCATGTTATAATCATTCGTCATGATTTCAAAACATAAAACTAAACACAAAATACAAGTCTCCATAAAAATAAAAATAAAAAGCAACACAAAAACAAATTAAAACATTGAGAAACCAGTTCCCAAATTTCTGACTCCATAAGATTTTATAATTTTCAAAATTACCCCTTAAAGTATCGGAAATGTATCGGGACCGTGTTCTTAAACTATCAAAAACGTATTGGAATGTCTAACTTTCAGGAAAGTCAACGATACTCCTATGTTCATATCGGTGCAACATAATCCATGAGTAATCCATCTTCTACCTTCAATTTGGTCTATGAAGTTTTTATTTCTTTTTTAAACATACTTTAATTATAAAAAGTATCTAATCCAATACTAGTCACCAAATGACACCTAGAGATTAGCTTACTGGACCGATCCGTGCTCATTCCTAGGACCCCTTAATTTCAAAATTCTACTTCATTCTATCAAAATTCCGGTGGAAAAATTGGACTAAATGAAGTCACGATGATCCCTTAATTGCAATAATTAATAAACTACAAACATAAAATTGCTAAAATCAAAATTACAAATATCTTAATAATTGCGTGTTTGTCTGAAAGGCTCTCTTTTTCAGTCCGAAGTAAGAAAAAAATACCGAGTAGGTAGCTTTCTGTCTGGTGAATTTGCCTCGACCCTGAAAATAACCCCAACAAACAAACTCTAAAGCCCTCCTCCCTCCTCCCCCCTACCTCTCGCTCAGTACTCTAAACCCTAAACCCACCATCAATGGCCGACCCAAGCTCCGCCGCCGGCGACGGTGATTCCAAAGACAATTCCGTCGCCAAGACTGCCGGGTTGGTGGTCTTCTCGGGCATCGCCCTGAGCATTCTCAAAGCGTTAAACCCTTTTAACAAAAAAAGAAATGAAGAAACTCCACTCAGTGAGTCAACTCAGCCCATTCAGCTGACTTCTTCGCAGCCTCAGCTTCAGCCTCAGCCTCAGCCTCAGCCTCAGCCTCAGCCTCAGCTTCAGCCTCAGCCTCCCCAACAACAACCCATTCTCAAGGAACCACACCCTCCTCTGCCCGTATGTCATTTCGCAATTTACTGTTTTTGATCCAGTTTTGTGTGAAATTTTTCGATTTGACATTTTGTAAACCATTTCTTTGTTGCTTTTGGGTTTTTGTTTTTGTGATATTCATTGCTTGCATAATTGGATTCTTGAATTTTAATTGTTACTTGAGTGAGTGACCTTTTATTTGGGTTTTATTTATTTATTAGTGTTTACGTTTTGGAAAAACCCATTACTTGTAATTTGATTTTGTTTGATACATTGGTCATTAAAGGTGCTGCTATTTGCTCATTGCTTGTGCACTTGATCATCAATTATAGTTTGGTGAAAGCCATGGCTCTAAACTCTGAAGTTTCTGGCTGTTTTATTGAAAGCTCATTGATTTGATTTGTGGGTGTCATTGTAGAAAACCATTACGAGCATGGACCAAAATGTGCCAGACACACCGAAGTCGTCACATAAGACAATAGAGATTGAGAAAGGAGATACACTTTGGGGGCTCTCTAGAGAATATGGGGTAAACTTTATCTTCTCTTTAATCTTTTGGTATTGCACATGATAATGTTCTAAGTTTACATTTCCTTTAGAGAAAATTTGCATGAGTAGAAGTAATTCTGGTGGTGTTCAATTGTGCAGCCGATAATTGAGAACCAAAATATAGAAGGACCTACTTACATTACCACTTTAGACATGGAATATGTGTGGAAACACCCCTAAGTACTTGCACCCTCAGAAACTCTTTTCTGAACAATAATCGGAAAAACGGAGTTGAACGTTTACTCAATTACCAAAACAACATAATGCTGGAATTTGATTGATCTCATTCTGTAATACTTGGGTGGAGCAACTTGAAATGTTTGGTAACCACAGTGATATGGCTTATTATTATATTTGTTACTGAAACAGAGGGTGATAATTTATTTATGTTGGATGACTGCCAAAACCTTTGAAAGTAATAATATGTTGCACTTTGAATTATGAAATTTTTTTCCACTACAAAATGGTATGATGCTATTTTTATTTTTTTAGTATGATATTTTATTTGGTAGTCATGTTTTGCTTTTGATTTGATATATGTTTTCTTTTTATATACATCTTAGGTATCCATTGATGCGATCAAAGAGGCTAATGGTCTTACAGGGGATACAATATATGCTGGCAAGAAGCTTATCATTCCATGAATACGTTCCGTCTGTCGTTTTCGCACAACTCATTTAAAGAAATTTTGGAGAAGCAATGCAGTTTCCCTTGCAATCTTGAGTCTCTTCACTAACAAGCAAAGAGCAGACATGGCCTTGTAGTTTGGACATTTCTTGTTTTGATTATTGGTTTGGCTGTACTGGAGTTGTAAGCAGTTTTCACAACGAGACATTGTGTTGGACATCCAAATTTAACTAAACTTGTTTTTAACAAATTTTATAGGAGCAGTACAGTTGCCCTCGGAGTCTTCCGTGCCTCGCTTAAAAGCAAAGAGGCTCTGAAATTTCAACATTTTCTTGTTTCGATGTAGGCAACATTCAGAGAGACCAATATTGATCGTTCCAAATGCCATCTGTTTATCCCGTTTTCCTTCAAGAAGATGCAGTATACCGTACAGAATGCCATCTGTTTATCCCTCTTTACCTTCCATCAATAACTTTCAATTTAACAACTTTTCAGGCTCAAGATTTTGTTTTTAAGGCTCAAAGCAAAGTGTGAAGTACTGAGCACTCAAAATTCGTGACAACTCAGGAACTCATCATATGCCGTAACTACAAAAGCTTAAAGGGTACTTCCAAAAACTTATAATTCAAAAAACAACAAATTAACAGAATTTGGTCCACCAAACATTAACTCAAGCTTTGACAAAACTTAAAATTGAAATATGCAGGTCATAGAGACTGATCAAACTAATTTCACAATCCTAAGGAACTAGGAAGCTGAGAGCTGCTGGGACTTGTTAAGGATCACACCCTCATATTTGACCTGGAACCATTTCATGGCATCATCCTTGGTGACCCTGTGCTGGATCCCAACACGAGACTTGCATCTACGACGACGGCCAACACGATAACCCGGACGCTCCAAAACAACAAAGAAATCCATCCCATAAATACCAGTTGAAGGATCGTACCTGCAAAAGAACAATGATAAATACATATTTAATAAATAGGATAGAGTAAGAATGAAAGTCAACCAAATCAAGATAGTAACATCCAATTGGCCACATGAGACAGGAAAAGCGACAAAAATGTAAAAATGTAAAACTAATACCAGTGTTTTGAAAACAATAGTCAGATTTATCCAAGTTTCTGTGACAAATCAGTAAACCATACATTGCAGTCACTTCCAGTACACAGTAACAAATAAACTAATACTCCAGTTGCTTTCTAAGACTCAACTGTCAAATGACAATAGTTACAAACAAATAAACAATGCATGCATGCAAAAAACCTACACTTTGCAATGCAGAATTGGCATATTATCTTTAAAATCGTAGCCAAGAAATAGTTTTGAATCATATGAATTTATAGTAAGATAATAGTGGAATCAAAGTTTCATATTTTAAAGGAATAAATAAATGAATGCACAAATAACCAATGAAACAGCTTACTTGATTCCCAAATCAATGTGCTCCTGGATACCAAATCCAAAACAACCAGTATCACTAAAGTTCCTTCTTAGCAACTCATATTCCTTCACCTTCAATCCACTCTCCAAAAGTTGCATGGCCTTGTCACCCCTAACAGTGACATAGCAGGCAATCTTCTCATTACGCCTGATACCGAAGGATCGAACAGTGTACCTTGCTATAAATTGCAAAGGCGAAAATTGCATTAGAATACAATATAAAACAGATGAAAGAAAGAATACAACAAATATAACCATATCATGGCGTTAATAATCTCAGCAACTACTTAAGCTAAAATCTTTTGTATTAGGGTAAGTTTACTGGATTGGTAACCGCAGCAATCACTTCAGCTATACTCAACAACTTTTGACACAATAGTCTGAATTAAAACAACGTCACGCCCACCAGTTCACCACCAAAGTCAATACCCAAGGACTTTAACATATCAAAGTAGAAGGCCCAAAAGCACAGAAGTCAGAAACCAACCACACTTGATTCAACTTTCTGCATCTACGCAAGCAATGTATTGTTGCACAAACCAGCCCTTCACTAGTCAAACATTTTCAATTGTAAACCATCTTAAAAAAGAAAATACAATTTAGGTATACTGATCCAACAATCACAAGCAGATGAGCATACACGAACAGTGTCCAACTGTTTATATCAAAATCAGAAGAGACTCCATCCTACCATTTATAATAAAATTAGAAGACTCTCCATGTATTCCAAGAAAACTTATATCCTACTATTTATAATAAAATTAGAAGACTACATGTATTCCAAAATAATTTATCATTCCAAATCCTTATCAAGACAATGCAGTCAACAGATTGAAACATAAACCCAAGATTTAAAATTTAAAATTACATGTTAGACCAGCGATTTTTGGAAGATTTTTTATTTGTGTTCCTTCTTCACCATCAATCAAAACAATGAGAAACCCAAAACCCGGAATTATAGCATCGTTTTCTGTACCTACATTCTATTAGGTATAAATCTGTGTCATTTGCACTTGAGGGAAACAAACCCATTTAAAGCGAACTAGTATCCAGTAGTATCACAAAGTTTATTACCAATAAAAAGACAACCAGGTGACAGGGAAAAACAATGTTACCTTTGGAGAAAACGGGTGTTTGTCCACTGAGTTGCTCCAACACCTTCAAATAAGAAACAAACAAATAAACCATCTATAGCAGTACATTGCAAGGTATTTGTGTGAGATGGGTGGTGAGGATAGCAATGGCTACCTTCGCGGCTCTGGTGAGTCGATCTCCACTCTCACCAACAGAGATGTTTAGGACCAGCTTCTGGACCTTGATCTCCCTCATGGGGTTCGCTAACTTCTTCTCTGAAGCCTGCATTTCACAGCCAAAAACAAATCAGAAAGAAAAGAAAAAAAGCCAAACCAATAACAAGATCACGATAACATTTAAATACAAAACAAACAGAGAAATCCACTAGCGAGCCAGAGTTAGAGCAAGAGAGAGACCATTTGGGATTTTGAGTTGCAGCCGCAGTCGGGGTCTGGTATGAGAGCGGCAGATAGAGAGGGAAATAGAGGCAAGAACCCTAAATATGACGAGGGGATATGGAGCTAGGGTTTTGATGCGAGTGGTTTTTTTTTTTATTGTTCGACTGACAGACAAAATTGCCCCTTTTAACATCCGAAATTACGGTGTCGTTTCTGTGTTTTAGGGTTTCGGCCACCCCCTGGGGAAAGTTGTAATTTTGACTTGATCAATTGATTTGGGCCAGGCAAGTACATCCTAGTACTGTATGGGCCTTAAGATTGTTTATTGGACTTTGTTCGCATGGAGAAAAGCAAAGGGCTGACCCTTAGGCCACCTCCAGTGCAAGGGCCTAGCCCGGGCAAAAGGCAGCCCTAGGCCCCAAAACCATCTCCAGCGTGCACAGTCCAGCCCGGGCAAGGAGTGGGATCCACCAGCCCGGGCAAGTCTACGGGCAAAATTTGATGGGGCTGTTGCCCGAAGACTGCTGATGTCAATCATTATGTCACGCTGACAAAAACCAACTGGAAGAAGTCACATGACGCTTTCCAGACGCTCCGATAAAAAAAAATTTTCATAAATCTGACGGTTGTTCGAAATTTTTTTTTTTAAAATACCAAAAAATTCTAGATTTTTTCCTTGTAAATACCTAACAATTTTATTCACTTTCCACACCAAATCTCCATACAAACTCTTCTCCTTTCAATATTTTTTACTTTCCACTCACATTTTTCTACTATTTTCCATTTGTATCAAAAAACAAATGGCCTCTTCCATCGAAGCCGAAGGTGCATGGACAACTCAGGAAGATATTGTGTTGTGTGAGTGTTGGGTGAAAGTTGGTCATTGCCCGTGAAGTTCTCTCATATGTGGAGAAAAATTCATGGAGAATATTATGAAAGATCGAATTCGTCTCAGACAGAAATGACATTGGCTAGTAGGTGAAATTTTTTGAATAAAGAATTAGGGAAATGGAGAGATGCGCTGGCAAAAGCGAGGGACAACATTCGAAGCGGTAAAAATCTTGCCAACGAGGTAAAATATTTATAAATGCCATTTTATTCAATTTAATGTCACTTTTTTTTTTCTTGCATATTCATTTTTTTAAATATTTTCTTGCATTTCCAATTTGTTTATATTTTCTTGCGTTTCCATTTTATTTTATTTTTTGAATAGTTTATGCAAGCACAAATGTGGTTTGGTGCCATGGGCCAAGGCAAAAAAAGTTTCATGAATCACCAATGTTGGGACGTTATGAAGAATTGTTCAAGATTCAAAATTATTTCCATTGGTCCGATGGTTGTGTTGAATGAGACGCCTCTCCATGATTCGCCATTGGACTCTCCAGTGGATTAAGACTCACCAATCCAACATGAGCCAATACCTATTGGGAGAAAGGCGGCAAATGCTAAGACAGGGACCACTTCAAACACTAACTGTGCATAATTTTTGGAGCAAATTACTAGGAACGGCGCACTGAGAATTGAGAGAGACTTGAAAAGAGAAGATGTGGACAAGGCACGACGTGATGCATATGCAATTGAAAGGCAGAAAGCACAAGAACAAGATATATAGGACAGAGAGAAGAAAATCAAGGCCATGGATATGAGCCATATGTCTTCTGAAACAAAGACCTATTGGAAGCTAAAACGAAGGGACGTTATGAGAGGAAAGCTTTTCCATGACGATGGACCTAGCAACACGGATGGGTTAAATGATCAAAATCATTAGGTTGTATTGTTCCCTTTTATTCAATAAAGAAACCATTAAATAATATGGCTATTTATTAAAAACATTTCATACGTCAAAACAAACCATAATTCATTACAAACTACACACAAAACAAAGCATAATTAAAAACAAAGCATAATTCCAAACAAAGCTTTAAACTTGACTTCATCCATTGTGATTGCCTTTCATCTCCCATAAGTGCTCGATCAAGTCAACTTGACATCTCTCGTGAACATACGAAGATTGCATTTCCTGATAACGGTCAATCATATGGTTGTTGTATCGACCATCTTGAATCAACAATTCGTGCTCCATTGGTTGTCCATTTGCTCCCATCGGCCTTTCATAAATTCTTGTCAATGCCGTGTTCATGGGATCGGGTTCAAAAACATCTGGAGCATCATAATCATACTCATCCTCCACAATCATGTTATGGAGGATGATGCAAGTCATCATAATGCTCCGAAGTACCTCCTTATCAAGCATCCAAGTAGCACCCCTAATAATTGTCCAACGAGCTTGCATGATACTGAAACACCTTTCCACATCTTTCTTATAACCTTTTCGAAAGGCAACAAAGCTTTTTTCCTTCTCTGATGGGGGATTTGGAATTGTTTTCATGAATGTTGTCCACCTCAGATAAATTCAGTCCGCGAGGTAGTACGCACTTGAGTATACAGTATTGTTGATTCGATACTTAATGTGGGGGGAATGACCTCTCAAGACATCGTTGAATACCGGGGATTGGCCAAGCACATTGAGGTCATTCTGAGATCCGACAACTCCGAAGAAGGCATGCCAACCCCAAGTGTCGAATGATGCTACGGCCCACAGAATTATACTTTTTTGGCCCTTTATATTCCCATAATCTCCTTACCAAACAGTTGGGTAATTCTTCCACTGCTAAAACAACTTCTTCCTTCTCTTCATCCAACTCACGATCTTCTTTAGCATGTCTGCGTCTGATTTCTTCATCTTCTTGTTATTGCCTCTCCAACACCCTTCTAAGGTTAGACATTGAGAGTAGAATATATTTTGTAAAATCTTAAAAATGAAAGGATAGATAAGATATGGTGTGAGAAGTCTAAGTTGAGGGTGTAGTTTTATAGAGGGATTTAGAAGATAGAGATGACACATGGCACAATTTTAGAGGGTGAAAATCTAATATGAAATCTGAGATTAGATTTTTTTAAATAAATATCCAAAAATCTTATCTAAAATGAGGCACGTGGCTCAATTTAGAGGGTGAAAATCTTATCTGAAATATGAGATTATAATTTTTTAAATAAATATCCAAAAATCTTATCTGAAATGAGACACGTGGCAACCGACAGTCTTATCTGAAACTTGAGATCTGAATGTTATAACAACATATGGACACGTGGCAACCGAAAATCTTATCCGAAAATTTAATTCAAAAATTTTATCCGAAAATGTTATCTGAAATTTTAGGTGAGAATTTTATAATAAATAGTGATACGTGGCAACAGAAAATCTTATCCGAAAAGCTTATCAAAATTAATGGTTTAAGAATAAAAAATAAAAAATAAATTAAAGTGAATAGTAATTGTGCCTTTGCCTTTTGAGGTGGAAGCAAAAAAGGCAAGAAGCAAAAAAGGCAAGGCTGCCATTATTTAAGTGAATAGTGACAAACCTTGCCTTACCTTTACCTTGCCCTTACCCTTTGGGGTGGAGGTGCTCTTATGTATGCAAATATCTCTTATGTGGATAGCTTAGTTGCCTTTTGACCCCAAAAAAAAAAAAAGAAGAAAAAAGATAGCTTAGGTGTCGACAGCAATTGTGGCCATTCAATTAACTTCAATGACTGAGATTAAAACGTGGGTTTAAAAAGGTTACATATAAGAACGGGTAAAAAAAAAAAAAAAACCCCCCGCACAAGAATGGGTGAAAAGAAACCCAAATTTGAAACCCACAAACCAAAAATTAACACCAAGATTTGAATGCAGAATCGCTGAAAAGCGCCAAGAAACCAAAAATTTGAAAGCCATGTTTTGGAATCCGGCTAGTTGTGCGAATCCACGAAAGTTGAAAGGCAACTCCATATTTACCAATAAAATCAGTTACATAATTTGAGTGAAAAAGACAAAGCTATATTGTAAGAGCAAATGTTACAACGAAGTGGCGAAAGCATATCGTCTATTTTGAAAGTGATAAGTGCCAATGTTCAATTGTTACATTTGAGAAACCCTAAGTTGCATTTGGAATTAGCATTTGGTAATATGTAAGTAATTAAGTGTAATTTCAGTTTTGATAAAGTTAGGATTTTTGTAATATATTTGCTATTAGTGGTGCATGATTTGGTGTTTTGTAATATGATGATGATAACGAAAGTAAAGAAATTGAAATATAACCCATATGATTGAAATGAACATCATGTCAATAATGAGTTAGTAATTGAGCACTTTGTATTGACAAGGAATAAACTATGAATGAATTGGTAGAAAATAAAATTTGAAAGTACATAAAAATCTTGAAAATGGATTGTGAAAATTTTGTGATATTATTATCAAGTGGGACTAAGCTTAAATTGAATTTAAATTTCTATGTGTGTATAATAACTTATGTGTTGTGCATTTGAATTTATTAATACTTGTACAAAAGTATTATGTTCAAATTAAGTGTAGTTAGCTGAATGAATGATGTGTTAAATAAATAATAAAGTTGTATTTGTGTAAGAATTTTCAGGAAATGAGATCTAATGGGGAGGTAGTATGACCAGAATCATAGGATATATGTTGCACGGGTGAATAACTGCTGACATGCAAGTTCATGCCTAACATGCAATTTCATCCAAATTGACCAAAGAATAGTTAGAGCAATTCAAAAACTTATGTTTTGGTCATCTTGCAAATATTGTTGAAATTCAGTTTAGCAAGCAAATTGTACATGAGATGGCTTTGCATCGAGTCGCCAGGCTTGGTGTGAAAGACTTGGATGAACTGAGTTTCTTGATAAGGTGTGACATTGCTCAGTTCACTCGTCATGACTTCTGTTTGATTACAGGGCTTCGCTTTGGGGAGAAGACTAAAATAGAATGTGAAGAAGATAGTGATAAAATCATACTTATGGAAATATATTTTGGCAAAGGAATTACATGTTCTGATTTAGATGAAGTATTTTTGGCTTGCATAGATATCAATTTTTTGAAAGGCGAAGCGTTGAAAAGAGGCGTTTTATGTCTCTCAAGGTGAGACGTAAGCCTTTTAAACATTCAATTATGACAAATAAATATTAAATATATGTAAAACATATGATTCATATACGTGTTGGGAGGTCACCAATTCACAACCACAACTTTGATTCATATATGTACATGCTATCAAGCCTCTCTTTAAACCCTAAATTGATTTAGTCACGAATTGGATACAATCAAATTCATATATATTTAAGATGGCATCTTGTGTTGAATAGATATGGAATAGAGGCATGAGAGCTATCAAAGAGAGAGTTGGGTTAGAAATACGGGAGCTAGTGTCAAAATTGAAACAAGGGCCTGTTTGGTACCTATCCAAGTAGGGAACTCAAAAACTGTTATTTTTCTTTAAAATAAGGAAAATTCATGTATAAATTTGTAACAACTTCATAATTCAGGGGATTTTACGTAGTTGATCCTATTATCATAATCATTAATAAAAGCCAATTTGCAAGCGGGTTAGCGCATGTTAAAATTGAGTGGGGTTAGGTCAAGTCCACCGTACAAAGCATACCCGAGCAGGAGGGCACCCAAGGGCCAAATTGCAACTCCAGCGGGCTAAGTCCGGCCCGGGCAAGGGTGGGTCCCACGAGCTTAGGCAAGGCCACGGGCAATAATCGCTTGAGCTGTTGCCCGAAGGCTGCTGACACAATGCTTTACTTCCCAAAAATGAAAAAAGTACCAAAAATTTCATAATTATATATATAAATACCTAGTTATATTATTCTTTACTTCCCGCACCAAAAACTCTATACAAATTCATCTCCTCATATCTCATGTGAATAGTAATTGACCTTGCCCTAGCCCATAGAGGTGGAAACAAAATTGAATAGTGGCAGCCCTTGCCTTACCTTTGCCTATAGGGTGGGAAGTGCTCTTACCATCGTGGTTGTAAACCCCGGGGTTTCTTTCCTCCTAATAACAAAAAAATAAAAAAAGAATGTAATGTAAACTTGAAAAAAGAAAAAAAAACCCTAAGAAAAGAAAAAAAGTGTTAAAGGATAAAAACGAAGAAGCACCGAGAAGAGACCGGTTGAAAGGAAAAAGGCTTTAGTTGGAGGGAGCAAGGTCTAGGTAGCCATTTCTAGGTTAAGTTTTAGTTTAAAAAAAGAGAAGAAGAAGAAGAAGAAAAAGAAGAAGAAGGGGTTTGAAATGCAGCTTTACGGAATACAATCAATGCTGAAGGAGGGGCATAAGCACCTCTCCGGTTTGGACGAAGCGGTGGTGAAGAACATCGATGCCTACAAGCAACTCTCTGCCATCACTCGAACTTCTCTGGCTCCCAATGGTATCGCTTCTTACTTTAAAACTTACAGTCTCTGTTTACCAGATTTGAACTCAGTTCGTTTCTTAAAATTTGTTTTTGTACTCACTACTGCTCAGGTATGAATAAGATGGTTATCAATCATTTAGACAAGCTGTTTGTGACAAATGATGCTGCCACCATTGTCAATGAGCTTCAGGTTCAGCATCCTGTTGCCAAGCTTTTGGTTTTGGCAGGCAGGGCTCAGCAAGAGGAGATTGGTGATGTTGCTAATTTGACCATTTCTTTTGCTGGGGAGTGATGAGTCGATTTTATATTATATATTTAACCATATTCTTAGTATATTTTGGTTAATATTTTGGAAGAATTTTGATACTTTGAATTATATTTCCAATATAGGACTTTCGACTCTCTCTGGAGCAAAACATAATCAAATGGACAAATTTTGGAGTAATTCTAGTTGGAGGACGTACGTGAGTCACTTAGCTTGATCGTATCAAAATATCAGACTTTTACACTAAGCGATGATTTCCTGGTGAATAAATGAAGGAGCGATGTGCAGTGCTGGAATAGTGACGTTTTGGGCTTATATTGCGTTTTTGGAGCCCAAGATGACCTCGGATGGGTTCGTGGCCTTCTGGAGAAGTGTTCGGAATATTTTTATCTTTAAAACGAGCTATCTTGGGCCAGATTTGGAGGAGATTTGAGACCAAAACGTGGCTGGGCAGATTTGGGCAGATTCTCCTAATCCAATTTGGACTTTATTTCCTAGTCTTATTTTATTTTAACTTAATTTCCTTGTGGGGATTGGGTAGTGCGATATTTAAGGTTTTAGTCGGCCCTAGTTTTGAGGACGCTTTCTTGGATGCAATTTTGGGAGACAAAGAGTAATTGTTAATGTTCTTGAAGATTTTCTACCTTACGGTGTTTTCATTCTTATTCATTCTAATGATAATTTTTTTTATTTTAATTATGAGCATGCGTAACTAATTCAAATTGCTAGGGCAAGGCCATAAGCCTTAACATGAATATGTAACTGTATTAATTTTCTTATGAATGGATGCATGCTTAGTTTGAATTATTAATCACCGCGATTAAAACTATCTTTTTATTTTAATGACTGATCACCATTAGGATATGTAGACAAATAATTTGATGCAATTTCTGTTGGAACATCACCCTGAAATTGAGGAGGGCTTCTTGTGATTAGTAATTGTAAGTTCACTTAAGGCGAACATCACGCTCTTAAGGGTTGCATGGTTTTTCAAAGGGTTTTCACAAAGCTTAATGAGTCTTGCATGTTTATATTTGATCTGAACATCACAGACGGATTGCATGTTAGATATACGTTTTCGCTTGAACATCACAAGGAAAATATGCATTAGGAAAACCTAACCTTCAAAGCATATATGTGGAAATTCATAAGTAATTGATAGAATTGCATAAGATTGTGACGGTGTTGGCTAAACCCTAGTTTTCTTTAAATTGTTAGTCTTTAAAAAGAAATCGTTTTTCTTCTTTGCTATTATTATTTCCCAACTTTCAGATTTCTTTTACTGTTAGTTTAATCTTTTTCAAATTCATAAACTTCAAATCTTTGATAAAATCTATTTTAGTTATTAATTAAGAGTTAGTTTAATTACAGATTAGTCAAACAATCTTTGGGGACAACGACCTTGCATGAGCATTTATACTACAATTACCTTGTATTCTTGCAAGTATTTTCAGTGATTTTAACCCTGTTTGCGCAGGTACTAAAAATCCTATCAAGAAATTGGCGCCTTTGCCGGGGATTGTTTTCACTAATTTGTTTTTATCATATTCTTAGTTGATTTTGTTTACACTTTTTCTGTTTATTTATTTATATATATATATTTTAAATTTTCGTCAAAATATTAATATTAAAAAAAAATAAAAAAAATTTGAACAGTTTCGCTTCTGTTTCAGATTCTGCAAACTGCATGGTCCAGACCAGATCAGGAACTGCACAGCTTGTACAGTTTGATCCAGAACCAAAGCGCACTCTGCACAGACAGCGAAGAGAAGTTAATTGGGCCTGAAACTGTTCATTGCAGGGCACTTTTCTGCAGAATTTGTTTGTAAACGAGGGTAACATGGCGTTAGAATTACCTGCAGCAGGCAGACCACTCAGAGAGTCATTGGCAGCCCGTGCCACTGATGTTCCTAATTGCATAGTCTATCCGACCTAGGAAGAGGGTGATTCATTCGAGATCAAGCACCACATGCTTGAGATTTTACCAACATTCCGTGGGCTGCTTAATGAAGATGCAAACATACATATTGCAAAATTTATTGTGGGTTGCAAGAGTATTTTGATTAGGGGTTTTTCTGCTGAAGCTATCAAGTTACGTCTTTTTCCTTTCACTTTGAAAGACAAGACAGAAACTTGGTTATTTACTCTACCAGCTAATAGCATTACTACTTGACAGCAGTTACACACAAAATTCCTGAACAAATATTATCCAGCATCCAAGACATTGAATTACAAGAGAGAGATTTTGACATTTACACAGAAGCCTAATGAAGAGTTTCATGAAGCATGGGAAAGATATACAGAGATGTACATAAAGTGTCCACATGTTAATATTGATTCAGATACACAGATGAATATTTTCTTTGATGGGCTTAATCCAACATCTAAGAGTCATGTGAATGCATCAGCTGGAGGATCGTTGTCAAATAAATCTGCAAGAGAAGCATTTGAATTATTTGA